TCAAAGTGACTACATCTGTGGGAAGAAAAGATAAACAATATCAGCAGCAGAAATCAGGTCTATTGGTCATATGTAAGTTCAGAGTGAAGCTGAAGAAAACGCAAACATATCAATGAAAGCCAAACTTTGACCTTGAGTCTATACCACCTAATTCTGAGAATATCTCAAGAACAGATTTGGTGCATTGGAGATTAATGACTTAATGTACTGTGGGAGGACATCAAGAACATCATACATATAGGAAGCAAAGGTCATTTAAAAGACAGTAAAGAAAGAACAGATGAAAACGGATGTCAGAAGAGACTCTGAAACTTGCTCTTAATACAGAGTTAGATGGAAGAAATGATGAAGTCAAAGAGTTATACAGAAAATTTCCAAGGGCAGCTCTGGAACACAAAGTCAAATATTATAATGAAATGTGCAAAAAACTAGAGTTTAAAAGGAAGAACATTCTTAGTATATCTTAGTGTGAAAAAAAACTTTAAAAAATTTAAAGCTTCAAGTTGTAATATGGAAAGATTCTGTAGGCAAAATATTGAATGATGCAGAAAGCATCAAAATATGAAAAGAATACACAGAGCCAATGTACCAAAAAGAATGAGTTGACATTCTACCATTTCAGGTAGCACATAAGCAAGAACCAATGATCCTGAAAGCAGAAGTCCAAGTTGCACTGAAATATTTTGTTGTTGTTGACTTTGCAAAAGCATTAGATTGTGTGGATCATAACAAACTATGGATAGCCTTGAGAAGAATGGGAATTCCACAACACTTCATTGTGTTCATGTGGAACATCTACATGGCTCAAAAGGTGGTTATGGGAATAGAACAAGGGCATACTGTATGTTTTTAAATCAGGAAAGGTGTGTTTCAGGGTTGTAACCTCTCACGGTATTTATTAAATCTGTATGCAGAGAAAATAATCAGAGAAACTGGATTATATAAAGAAGAATGCTGCACCAGGATTTGAGGAAAGCTTAACAGCCTTCAATATGCAGATGACATAGCCTTGATTAAGAAGGACTCAAAGCACTTGTTGATGAAGATCAGGGATTTCAGCCTACAGTATTGATTACAACTCAATGTAAAAAGACCAAAATCCTCACAACTGTATCAATAGGTAACATCATGATAACTGGAGAAAAGGTTGAAGTTGTCAAGGATTTCATCTTGCTTGCATCCACAACCAGTGCTCATGGAAGGAGGAGTCAAGAGACCCAATGATACATTGCATTGGATAAATCTGTGAAGTGTTGAAAAGCAGGGAGGTCACTATGAGAACCAAGGTGAACCTGACCCAAGGCCTTACGTATATGTGAAAGTTGGACATTGAATAAGGAAGACTAAAGAAGAATCTGTGCATTCTTGAATTATGGTATTAAGAAAGGATATTGATAGTATTATGGACTGTCAAAGAATAAACAAATTGGTATGGCAAGAAGTACAGCCAGAATACTACTTAGAAACAAGGATGATAAGCCTTAGTCTGACATACTTTGGATATGTTGTCAGGAGTGACCAGTCCCTGGAGGAGGACATCATGCTTATAAAGTAGAAGGGCAGCAAAAAAGAGAAAGATGTCAACAAGATTGAATGATGCAGTAGCTGCATCGATGGCTCAAATATAAGAACAATTGTGTGGATAGTGCAGAGCCAGGCAGCATTTTGCTCTGTTGTACATAGGATTGCTATGAGTTCTAACTGACACAGTAGCACCTAACAATAACATATGGAATTGAAATTTGGATGAATATGGAAGCTCAAAGAAGAGTCTGTGCATTTGAATGATGGTGCTGGTGAAGAATATTGACAATACCATGAACAACCAAAAGACAAACAAATTGTCTTGGAAGAAGTACAGCCAAACTGCTCTTTGGAAGGGAGAGTGAGAAGACTTGTTTCACCTGCTTTCAACATGTTATTCGGAGACACAAGTTCCCGGAGAAGGGCAACATTCTTGTTCAAGTAAAGAGCAGAGTTCTGGCTGTTCTTCTTTCAAGACTGATTTGTTTGTTCTTTTGTCCTGAGCATGAGTTGGACAGGACTAAAGGGTAAACAGTCATTTAATATACATTCTTATATAAAATATATGTTTCTATCTCAGAATAAATACTTCTGGGGCAAGAAAATCTTGAATGGACTCTTCATTTCAAAAAGGGTAACATGGATTTCTGTGTTTCCTTGTGGGGGAAATGTACTTTTGAAGCTTCTTCAATAAAGAACCTCTTGAAAGTTGCTAAAGTTAGTGAATTAAAATAACCTATTTCATAATTGTCTGAATTTTTTTAATGTAGGTGCCTACATTTGGTTTACCCTCCACTATTTCTGTTAGATCTTGACTCATTTGCAACTCACAGTGATGCTATGTATAACACAAGAAAACACTGCTAGTTCCTAGGTCATTGCGCTCACTGTTGCAGTCACTGTGCCAATCCATTTTGTTGAGGGTCTTGTTATTTTGTGCTGCCCCTCCACTTTACCGAGCATGATGTCCTTCACCAGGAATTGTCCCTTCTGCTGAGTCCAAATGAAGGCTCACTCTCCTTTCCTTGAATGAGCATTCTGACTGTCCTTTTGACAATTCAGATTTCTTTGTTCGTCAAGATTCTTCTTTGGTTTTTCTTAATGTCCAACATTCACATACATACAAGCCAAAGGAGAACACCATTGCTTGGATCAGGCATATTTTAGTGCTCAAAACTACCTCCTTGCTTTCTTTTTTATTTTCCCCAATAGTTTTATTGACATGAAACTCACATACCATACACTTCTATAGTTCAGTTGTGTTTTTATAAAGTTGTTTATACATCATCACAATCAGTTCTAGAGCATCTTCCTCCCCACCTGTACTCATTATTTACTCCCTATTTGCCTCCAACCTCATCCCCATCGCTGTTTTCCTCGATTATTGTCTCCATATATTTGACCCTTCTGTGCTGCAAATTGAGCAACATCCAAAAAAATAAAAACAGGGACTACATCAGAGAGAGAGAGTTCACTAGCAATATTAGAATAAACCAGAGGAAAATGAGCAAGAAATGTTTAAAACTAGAGCAAATACATAATGGCTCAAGAGGGAGATCAAATGAGCACATATCTTATTATACCCTAGTTGCATCCTCCATAATCAAGTTTACAATAGTCTCTGTCTGATAGCCCTGTTATTGGCATTTCTCAATTGTGGTTGGAGGGGATATACCAGAGGCTTCATCCACACAGGAACCCTGCAGATGAATTCGGGGCTCCCAGTGTCATCCATAGCATTCTGCAAATTGGGTGTTCACAATTTAAGCTCTGATACTTTTCCCCCCTTCATATTTTGATTTTGTTGTTACCATCTTTGACTCACATAGTCTGGTATGCTTCTTCCATGTGGAGTTAGTTGCCACCTCACTTAGATGGCACTTGTTTGAATAAAAGCCTTTAAGACTCCAGATGCTATTGTGATAGCTGGGGACCATCTAGTTTCTTCTTCAAACTTTCCTGTAGCACTCATATCTTAAGTGATCTATTCATGACAGTGAGCATTGAACCTCCTTGCTTTTCAACACTTAAAACTGTGCAGTAGATTTACCCAATCCAACACAACATCATTTGATCTCCTGACTGCTGCTTCCATGAGTATTTATTGTATAATTTATAAATCATAATAAATCTAACTTAATACAATTAAAAAGGAAACTGGGCTTCCAGATTATTTTTAATACATATTGGCATTTGCCAGAGGAGCCCCGTAGCGTAATAGCTACAGGTTGGACTATAATCTTCAAGTCAGATCGAAGCCACCATCTGCTCCATGAGAGAAAGGGCTTTCTACTCCCTGAACCAGTCACAGTCTCAGAAACTCACAGAGGCAGTTCTACCATGTCCTAGAAAGTCTGCATCAACTCCATGAAAGTGAGGTTTGGTTTTTTTCCCATTGGCATGTGATGCTCTTTTAGAAAATAATAATAATTTTTAAAAACCACTTAACAGAGTTCTTATATCCAGAACCTTTGTCACTTCTTCTAAATTAATGGGTGGCTCCCTGCTATTGCATAGATTGCAGCTCACCGTGGCCATATGTGAGGTTTCTGAGACTACTTATCATTTGACAGCTGTTAGGCTTGAGCCACGTAACTTGCAGTCAGCAGCCCAACTGCTAACGCACAGCACCAACCAGGGTAACCTAGTAAATGGGTAGGACCATGCAAATGTGAGATACTTGCAGTCAATCAAGAGAATTAAATTGCTTACTAATAATGCAGTGAATCTTTTGGATGTTACTTAAATCTCAGATTTCCTATTCTAAACTCTACTTTACTTCTAGCCCACTAAAAGTCCTTAACGCAGATTACTTCTTAATAAGCAGGTTTGCCAGATGCGATTTGTTAAAGTATATAAGGCATTATTTGCTAAAATAGTCTAACAATGCCTTTTTCTGTCTTCTGCTGTTAATGAAATGTCCAGATTAACTAATGTTGAGCACCGTCACAGAGTTAATGAAAAAAACAACAACAAACAGTATATAGCTGAGTGATATTTTAAAAGAGTGATTACACACAGATCTCAGACAAGTGATAAGCCTCCCTATATATACCATGGTTAGCATATTGGAGATTTCCATCTATTTAAATGTCATTTATTGCCCTAATTCAAAATACAATTCTTAATTTTTGCAGTGGTGACAAATGATTGTATTTATTGGGAAAATATCAGTTGATTTCTCCTTTCTTTTACTCAAAATTCTATTCCAGAACCAGAGTAAAACATATTTTTAAGTTCTCAACCTTAGAAAATGAATCCAGGGTAAGAGTTCTAAGCTAACCAATGAGAAGTTGAAAGTAAGACGCAAGAGAGTGTTCTTTCTTTTTTTATTAAAAATAGTGGAAGCTGTGGCTTAGGTTTATCCTTCCTTAGTCTTATCCACAACTAAATGAAAATCTTTTTTATAATGTTGTGTTTGTTTTGGCTTTGTTGTTAAAGCTAGTATCTAAACTTTGGAGATTTTCCTTTGTTAGATAAAGATGAATGCTCTAAAGACAATGGTGGATGTCAACAGGAATGTGTCAACACCATGGGAAGCTATGTGTGTCAGTGCCGGAATGGATTTGTGCTGCATGAAAATAAACATGACTGCAAGGAAGGTACGGAGACAAGTGTCCTGTTGTTGACAGCATTTGGTGTTCATACAGTTTCAATCAAGCAATGCTTCCAAATAATGTTTTATCATATCAATCAGATGTAATTTCAGACTATTCAAATGACAAGCAACTAGTCTCTAGAAGTTTGAAATTCAGGACATATTATTAGAAACCTTATTCTGTTACCTAAAAATTCTTCACTTCACACATGAGTAGCATTCCATTAGCTCTGTATAACAGCTGCAGAAGGTGCTATGATGCCATCTGTGATCAAGAAAGAGGCAACTTTTATCTCCAGGTCTTTGCAGAGTGTACCTTGTAACAGGGTCTGTATGGAAGTATCTACAAAGGGTTTTGCATTTGGTGAAATTTTCTTCACACAAAAAATTTGTGAATTTGCTACATGAGTGAAGTCTTTTTAAATAACTAAAGTATCAAATTCAAATGCCTACCAGAGGAAACACATTTTAAAATGGTAGAAAAGTTGCTACTTAATGATTTAAGTCTTGGTTTCAGACAAACCTTATAGTAACACACAGTAGACTAGTGGTTCCTGTCCCCAAGGCCTTACAAACAAAACAAAAATCAACAGCAAAACCTGATTATTATAGTCTCGGTCACAATGATTAAGGTTGAACAAAAAAAGCTCTTATTTCTTGTTTTAAAGATCAGCTCTTAAGTTTCCAAATGGGATTTATACCTGCTTTAAAATGAAATTTTAAAGTGGATTTTAAAATTTTAATCACTAACACATGTAGAATTGGTAGACATCTTACTAGCAACTCAGATAATTCTTTATATTAATAATATATAATATCCTGAATTCTCCCTTTTTCTATTTAATTATGGTCCAAATATGGTAATAGGTCAGGTTTTTTTAATTTCATTGAGATAAAAACTTACAAACTCATATACATTTTGCATTTCTCTCTCTCTCCCTACTTTCATATACGGGCCTAATCCCATCAAAATTCTAATTTTTATTTCATAAAGGGTACTATTAAAATAAGAGGTCATGGAATGTAAAGTAATTTAGAGAAAATAATATCCTAATAATTTATAGAGCAATCTAGAGATAAATAAAGTAATTTAGAGATCATGCATGTGAACAGTCAATTGCAAATGTAATTTAATTCCAAATCACTATTTTTATGGTAGTATTTTCTAGGAATTGTTTTATAGGAATTTTTTAGTAGAATAATACCCACAAACTTTTTAACAAAGTTTCTATCTATTGCTAGAGAAAGGGTGTGTGTTTGTGTGTGAGTGTGTATGTGCATGAGTCTTTACTTCCACCATAGTATACACACAGAGAATAGATAATTTAGTAGCAACCCTCTTGTCTTTGCTTTGTAGACAGTTTTCAAATCACTTCAAATTTCATGTTTCATGTCAAGATGGGGACAATGTGAGTTAAATTTAGAAACCCTTCCATCAGAAACGGATCTAGACTCGAATGACTACTGTCTTGCTATAGCAGCCTTCACCCCCACCCTTCCACAAAGACGCTTGATTTCATATTTTTCTTTATGTTTCTCCATTGCATTCCCAAATCTCCCTGTGAGAACCTACTATAATTGAGGTAAAGGTCTAGTATCAAGGAATGCAACAATTGTAAAAAAAAAAAAAGCAACAATTATTTTTAAAAGAGGAAATTTCATTTTAAAGGAATGATGATAGCTTCTTTAAAGTCAGTTCAAAAGCTACTTGTCATCAGGTATTAGGCATCAAAGAATAAAAAATCATATTATTGTGTGCTCACTTCCATGATACGATTGCTGAAGACAAATGGGTGCATAAGCAAATGTGGCGAAGAAAGCTGATAGTGCCCGCCTATCAAAAGATATATCATCTGGGGTCTTAAAAGCTTGAAGGTAAACAAATGACCATCTAGCTCAGAAGCAACAAAGCCTACATGGAAGATGAACACCAGCCTGTGTGATCACGAGGTATTGAAGGGATCAGGTATCAGACATCAAAGAACAAAAAATAATATCATTGTGAATGAGGGAGAGGACAGAGTGGGGACCCAAAGCCCATCTGTGGGCAACTGGACATCCCCTCATGGGAGGGACACAGGAAGGAGATGAGCCAGTCAGGGTGCAGTGTAGCAACGATGAAACATACAACTTTCCTCTGGTTCCTAAATGGTTCTCCCCACACCACACCACCCCACACAAACTATCATGATCCCAATTCTACCTTACAAATCCAGCTAGACCAGAGAATCTACACTGGTACAGATAGGAACCGGAAACACAGGGACTCCAGGACAGATGATCCCTTCAGGACCAGTAGTGAGAGTGGTATACCAGGAGGGAGGGTGGAGGGAAGGTGGGGTAGAAAGGGAGAACCAATTACAAGGATCTATATATAGAGAGGGAGGGGGCAGATGGGAGGGAGGGGAAATATGAGGAGCTGATACCAAGGGCTGAAGTAGAAAGCAAATGTTTTGAGAATGATGATGGCAACAAATATACAAATGTGCTTGACACAATGGATGGATGTATGGATTGTGATGAATTGTATGAGCCCCCATTAAATTTTTTTTTTTAAAGCTACCTCTGTCTAGCCCATTCAGCAATTTTCCCTTTATTTCTTCATTTTTTATTTGATGAAATTAGAGTTAATTTATTGTAACAGTTAAAGAATGATTTAGGTATTAAAATTTAAATTGGAACCTGGCTGATCAAGTTAGAAGGAAAATATAAACATGTGATTCATATGTGGCTTAATGATGTTGATTAACTGTAAGTGATATTTCTAATAGAAACAATAGAGAATTGTGAAGGGTATAGTCCATTTATTCTTTGTGGGTTTACATTAAGTATTTTGCACATAGCAAGTGTTGATTTCCATAAATCTCAGTATATGTTGAACGGTTAAAGTCTGAGCTAATATCCAATCATTTTAAGGAAGGCATTCATTTTCTCGTAGATATTTATCTGATTCATGGTAAACACTTAATTTCACATGAGCAAGAAAACAAACATTGCCTGATTAATCCCAGAACATGTTTGCCAAAGCAGATGCATAACTGGCATTCAGAAAGTCTTTCAGCAAGACAGTGGGTAAATTGGCTGCTTGCTTTCTGGTCCAAGCCTTGATTTCCACACTGACTGATATTATCATTATTGGCACAGCTGAGTGTGAACAGAAGATTCACAGTCCAAGTGGCACCATCACCAGTCCCAACTGGCCAGACAAATACCCAAGTAGGAAGGAATGCACATGGGAGATCAGCGCCACTCCTGGCCACCGAATCAAATTAGTAAGTGAGCACACAATTATTCCTCTTACTGAGCTGGAAACCCATGACTAGAGAGCACATGGAAGGAAAGTGGATTTTTTTATAACTGAATTGAATTAGCAAGCAACTGGAGTTTTCTTTCTAATGTTCTCCTACATATATTAAACAAGTCCTTGATTTCCTGGATAAAAAGGATCTAATGGAATTCTGGTGTTGCAGTGGGTTGGGATTTAGGATGTTAACCTGCTAACCACAAGACTGGCAGTTCAAACCCACCATGTTCTCCAGGGGTTAAAGATGAGGCTTTCTGCACTCAATCAGATTTACAGCCTCAGAAACCCAAAAGGGAAGTTCTACTCTGCCTTAGGGGGGCTATAATGAGTTGAGATTAACTCAAAGGCAGGGAGGGTTGTTTGGCTGTTTTGTTTTGTTTTAGTATTGGTATCAATGTATTGTTTTTCATAGTGTGATCCTGGATGATCTAAACAATATCAAATTACAAAATAACTATATTTTTGTGCGTGGGTGCATTATATTTTTACCACGGGCTTTTATGACATCTTCTTTGCTATATATAAGGATTTCACAGTGTTTGTCCAAAATAAAATCTTTATTTCCCACAATAACTACTATCACCAGCACAAATGGCAACTTGCTACTCATTTAGTTGTTCTTATCTCAGTAATGGACAACTCTACTTTTCCAGGTTCTAGGACCAGAAAACTTAGACTCATCACTATTCTTTCCCTCCCACTACACACTCACTCCATCAGCAAGGTCTGTCAGCAGTACTTTAAACTGTATTCTAAATAGGAACACATGTATCTCTAATTCTGGTACAATTTGACAAAAAATAACTGCAGCAAGACTCTCTTGTTCCACAAGTACTGTCATCGAGGCATGAGAGAATACCAGCTTCTGACAGATTCTAGAACATGTAATAAAATAGTTTATCTTGGGATTAGGCTATCATGCCAAAGCAGCTCAATGGGTCAGCCAAGTCATAAGGTTAATTGTTAAATTCCTAGTCGGGGCCCTATCTTTTAACAAATTTTTATTGGCTAATAAAGATGCCTCACTCATATAGCATAACAATAATAAAATCAGAGACTGTCATCAAAACATTTACATTTGTATGGTAGAGTTTTTCCCATCGCCATGTTTGGAATGCATTAGAAATATTATGCACCGATATCTATTCATTTTATCTGCTTTTTTGAAGAATTCTGTCTGCTTGGGTTGCTTTTCCTGCCCAAGGTCCTGATTGAGAGGACAAGAATCTGCAGCTAACAGTTAAGCTACAGAATCCAAAGTCTTTCAGCCATACAATTTCTGAGGAAATTGGGAAAATATATTTCCCTGAAACATTTCTTTGTGTCTCTCTACAGTACTTTCAGGTACAATTCATTGCCTGAAAAACCTCTTATTTTTCATAATGTGCATATCTCCTGGCAATTTTCTTAGCTTTCACATTTCATAATGACTTTGAACAGTATTTTCTTTGGATATGAACTTTTAGGATCACCATTTTATTTTTCTTTCAGAATTTTAAACACTTCACTCTGTTATCTCCTGGCTTGAATAGCTTTTAATGAGATGTCTATTACAAACGGTTCACCCCACCCCCACCCCTTGCCTGCCCTTTGGCTGCCTTCAATTTTCCTTTCTTTTTTCTTTCATTTTCCAGTAGTTTGAATGTAAATGTCTGTATGAGCATGTATACAATCATTGGGTGGTTTTTGCCCTCTGAATTTGTCAGAGCTGCCACTAATTCTTTCACACACACTGAGTCACATGGTTATTGTAATCCCAGCTCTTGGATGTGGGCCTTTAAAACAAACAGAACATTTCTTTTTGTGTTTCACTAGTAATTCTGACTGGACTATTTTTAAGTTCAAGTATTATTTCTTTTTTTTTAATTAAATAATCATTTTATTAGGGGCTAATACAACTCATCACAATCTGTACATACGTCATCTGTGTCCAGCACTTTAGTACATATGTTGACTTCATAATTCTTATG